AAACTCATTTGGCAATTGAGAAAATACAAAGGTATGTATTATGTATATTAGATATATTTACAAAGATTGTAAAACTTATGAAAATGGGTACTCTTGATTCACCACAAACCTAGATACACAGATTAATAATGTGCCATTAGGTATTGATATCAGTCACGGTATAATTTAGGATTTTATTCCACAAAAAAAAAAACGCCGACTTCATATCGTGGCAAAATCAGTTATTTTGATTTAATACTAAATTACTGAACCGATTTTGATAAAATTTCTATGGGACCTCTATGAAAGTAGATGTGTTCAGATAATTTTTTTTTCATTTCGGTTTTTAAATGGCGAAGTTCTGAGCTAACAAGCAAAAAACATACAACTGAATTGAGAACGCCCTACTTTTTTGAAGTCAGCTGAAAATTAGATTAACACAAGAGTACCTAAACAAAAAAGAGTAAATAGTGCAGGCAAGATCCCTAATTTAAAAAAAAAAAACTTTATTGACCTCCCCTACATAATAAAATTTTTACGAACTCGATATTTATAAAATAATTCTGCTACCTTTCATTTTCTAAAAGTTCTTTGTTGCTTTCTGAGGTGGTCCTAGATTTTAAGATAAAAAGTCATGTCACGTAAATTGAAAACAGCGTAAACGAAAAATGTCACTGCATAAAACTAATTTACCAGTAAGCATAAAGTTCCTTTATAGATACTCACCAGTAAACACATAGGGATCTATGTATGGTTTTTGTTTTTTACGCAACTTGGAATCTTGGAATGACAAACAAGCTTCAAAAGGTTTTTTTTTTATATTCAAAATTATTTTTTTTAATGATTCATAATGGAAGGTATGGTACCTTAGATTATCGCTTAAGATTGCACAGAACTAGTAAGGGGAAATGGATAATGCCGAAGTCAGTTCATTCCCCGATCTGACAATTCATCGGGAATTAACCGCGATAGTTACCAGAGAGAGAGAGAGCATGGAAGTCGACTTAACAGAACATATTCCTAGTAACAGAGTCACTTAATGATCGAAGGATGGGCAGCAGCATTCCTCTTAAAACATCACTAAAGCCTAATTGCTAACCCACCTGCCAAGCGTGATAACCGCAATTAGGCTTTGACTTATTGCGGACAGTAAATGGCTGATACGATACGAACGGGGTCATTAGTTCCCTTTACTAACAATATCTTTCCCAAATAGTAGAATAAAACAGGGGACCAAATTACGATCCACGTGACCATGCCATTCAACTGCCGTTTTTCTGATTCAATGAAGTTTTGTAATTTAGCTAGAAACGAAGAACCTTAAAACAGTTGATCTAAGTGTCTGGAAGGTATAACTAATAATATGAAATAACAGCTCAAAGAACGAATACGATGGTTGACAGAGACAGTTTTAGAAGGCAAATGTTATATGTCGAGGGCGACATGAATCTGAACTATCTGGTTTCTAGGGAAGACTGTGTGGAGTTTGATCTGACAGGGTAGTGCTAGTAACGAAGACAAACATCCTTCTCCATTGCTAACAATCCCTTTCTCTGTAATCTGCGTAATATAGGTAAGTTCACATCTGTGATCTCGAGTCTCTTCGTAGCCAATATGTCGATATTGGCAATGATAGTGATAGTGGCATTTCTGTGTCTGAAATGATGCACTAGATTGCACGAAACACGTAAACTTCATAAGTAAAACTTTTAATTATGTCGTATTTACTATACAAGATAAATTTGCGAAGGTTGCAAATATGCATCAAATACAAATTAGATATCAAAAACCAAATTATGTATAACTAATGTGTATCATCAATTGCCGACAAGAAACACTTTAGATTGGAAATTAGCCAGACATGGTGACGATCTGTGAAAATACACACTAAACTTACTGAATTCAAAATCCTTAATAATCACTAATTAGCTATCTGTTTTGACTTGGCAATAATTACAATTATAACTTTGTTTTATTATGATTGCAGTTTATCTATATCATTACAAAGTTATCAGTATACTCATATTATTTTTATACTCTACATCATATGATTTCCTTGGGTCATTCATAACAATGTCTTAAGAGTTTTAAGTTATCCCAGATTCATCTCTCTGAAAGTTGCAATATCCAATTTTCCATATTTTACTAATAGATAATTACTAAGACAGGAAAGTTTTGTTATTTTTAATGCATGAAAATGGAATGGTAATTCCGCCTACGCTATATGTATTTGCTGGCAGGACACCAGTGATAGATGAGAATGTAAGCAGATCAATCAGCCCATCATGAAGAATTCAACAATAATTAATCAAGATAGTTTCCAAAGGGAACCACATAGAAGTCGACCTGATATAGACATTGCTAGGAATGGGGATATTAGAACCCATTACTAACAATCCCTTTCTCCACAAGGTTTGATATTTGAAATGAATAATATATAAAAGGTGTTTAATATTATTATATTTTATTAACATATACTTTAATTTATTTCTAATTCAGAAGGGTGACAACTGAGGTCCATCTTAAATAAAAATGAAGTAAATGTGTAAAATGAAGCTAGGGGTGTGTGTTATCGGAATCCAAAGAGATGCAAGTGAACTTCTTAAACCTTTTAATCTTGGTCTTGTGTTTAACATTTTTTATCAACAGTCAATTATAAAAAAGGTAGATTATAAAGTAAATATTGACTTTGCAATTTAAAAGACAGATAACATATATATTAGTGTGAAAAAAGAGTCTGATTTATCAGTCTATCAGAATTATTGTCAGATATGTTTGTAGATATATACTATTATATACTTAACATATCATGTGATGTCTAATAGAAATATTTGACTTGTCTAAATGTCACTGTGATTATTTGTAACATTTACACTCTAATAATAACAAAATATTTTAAATATAAGTTAATTTTTTGTATGGGAGTGGGGGCAATGATAAAAGGTTAATTTTGCAAAATTATTGAAACCCAAATGTCTAAAACAGTCCTTAGATGACTAAAAGAATCATACTATACATATTATAATCCTGCAGCAAATACTGTTACAGATAACCCATGAAAAATCTGATTTTGCAAAATAGTTTTTATAAAAAAGGAGGTTCTTATTTTAAAACAAATATATTTTTTTTTGTGTGATATATACTTAGATTATTATACTTTTTTTTTTCTTATTAAATATCATGTGATGTTCTTAATTTTTAGATTTTAGCCTTTAGATAGTTCCAACACTTCTTATATTTTCAATGTAACATTTATACTCTAATAATAAACAAATATACATATTCCTCAATAAATATAAGGAAATTAATATTATAAATTTGTAAGCAATTAAGGGCATGATAATATATAATAAATTTTGCAAAATTACAATCTGAAACTGCACCAATGAAAAGACAAAAATTCATAAAAGCATCTGCATGAATATACACATTAAAATCTCTTGTTAATCATAATGAAAATACTGGTCACATACATCTCACACACACACACACACACACACACACACACACACACACACAACACACACACACAAACACACACACAAACACACACACACAAACACACACACACAAACACACACACAAACACACACACACAAACACACACACACAGAGACACACACACACACACACCATGCACACACACTAGTTTTTATAAAAATAGGTGTCTTATTTTAAAAAAATATATTTTTTTTAGTTACACAATTGTGAATGTTAAAAAGCCTTGTCTTAATATTTAATTATTCTTTTTTTCTGATATTAAAAATATTATTTCTTATTTTAAGATGTTCTTAAACTAATTTACAAACAAACAAGTATTCTATGGTAAAAATGTAAGGATTGTACTACATCATTAAATACCACAGAACACTCCCTATTATGTAAAAGTTGGAAAACAGATTATTTAGAAAGTTTTAATTATAGAAAAGAAAGAATAGGATTATTATGTTCACAAAAGTTTTATTTATGATTCATAAATAAAACTTTTGTGAACATCTGGTGTGTAATTAGATTTTTCAGTAAATTGTGTAACCTGTTTACTAGTCACAGAAAATTATCAAATGATATGATTTTGATTTTATTTATATATACAACCAAAATTATAATAAATTGATTACATCAATTCAAATTAAATTTGAAGTGTGAGGATACTATTTTTTTTTTTATTAATTTGGCTGAAGTTCATACAACAAATTTTATAATCACAACTTAAATTATAGCCTTTAATTATCAAGGGTAAATCAGAAAAATTACAATTTCTAAATACCCAAATTAAATTGCATAAATTTTAAAATTATTTGAAGTATTCTGTTATCAAAAAATATGGGAAAAACTGCAAATTAATGCAGAATGGAAATCTGGTGTCACTACTCTGCTTTTAAATAAATAGAAAAAAGATATTTTAAACCATAACAATAAAAGTATGACTTTCAATGATTTTTTTTTGTTTTGTTATTTTAAAGGAAATTAAATAAAATGAATAAATACTAAAAATCAATGGTTGAATGGCAAGAGGCCTAATTTATTTCTTAAAGTAAATAAAAAGTTTACTTACTATATATTGACATATTTTATTGTATAAATGCACCAATGCATTTTTTATACATATTGATACTGGCCTATTTCTGTAGAAATTTTTCTCACCTTGTTCTTTTACAATTTGAATCTTAAGACTATCAATATAAAGGCGGTAGTAGCGAATGATGAATCATACAAGTTTACAGTGGGTATGGTTTGCTGATGTCATGCCAACATCTAACTCATACGAGCACGAGTCCTATCCCATATTGTTAAAAGAGCACGTACTTGTAATTCTAAGAACATTAAAATAAAACAATACATGTCAAAAATAAATATCTAAGTTCTTATAAAATAGAAGTAAAATGCGCATAAAAATATAGATTCTTATGTAATATTTCCAAGTTACTGTTGTGTCCACATAAATAATGAAAACTATTATGAAATAATTACGTGTGTTAATTAAAATCTAAGTTAATTTGCTGTTTTTAGGGCGTAAATACCTTATTTTATGTGTAATCCAATATCCAGAAGTTGCAGTCCTATTTACACACGAGTGCACTGTCATTCATGTAAAACAACACACCATCACAAGGTAGCACTACACAATTTTTCACTTATAATTATTATATTATGTGAAAATATCACATAATGCGCCATTTTCGCAATAAATCCAAAGAACAGCAGTCGGCACTCGCTGCCATCTTTTTTGTCAAATGTCTAAAAACTAAATATAGCGCTTCGAACGAACTCTGGTGTTATTTTTAGAAAATACAAGAAACTTTCTTCGTACCAGTAGCGCCATCTTATGACCATAATGTAAATTTATAGTTTTCCGTAAGGTGGCGCTAATAAACTTAATTATTAATCGGCATTCTCGATTCTTTTTTTACTTAAAAGATGACGCTGTTTTTTTATCTTATAGAAAACACAGACTTCAAATATGTATTCAGATCTGTTTTATCAATTCTATGATTAGGTAACATTTTAGTTCACTAGTAGAGCACTTACTGAACATGGTTTAATAATGTTAAAAATTTACATGTAATTGTAACTTAAAGTACGAACGCTAATAAAAATGTCGTAATTAGTGATGTTTATCATAACAAAACATCATTTTATTTATTTATACTTACTATACCATCGATGGGTCAATTCTCTAAACTTGTCTAAAATTAAAATTTTATATCACAGGAAAATCTTTAGTGGAGGACCAAGATGACCTAAATTTGTAATAATAAATAAATTAAATTAAAAAAGAATATATTCCTTTTATAATAGTTTTAACATAAATATTGTAATGAACAAATTTAATTAAAGCATCACCTGGTGAATATTTAATCAGCGATTGGCATGGCTCAAAACGGGTAAAATTGTAATTTCCTAATTGTCTAAACATGAGAAATTCACTGAATTCAATCAATTAATTTCACGTTTATGAAGTATGGCTCGTTCAGTTTAAAGAGTGGGGAATAGCTGTGAAATTTGGGGAACATTGGCATATATCATACTGTACAGGATGTATTTCCATAAAAATACCAGTAAGGAGTTTAATTTTTTCAAGCTCATAGTGCTGTCGGCCACAGATCGACTTTACAGCTTCACCGAACGTGTGCAGGGGCGAATGCAGATGCCACTTCAAGCCCACAAGATGAGAACGACGAAGTATCGACTCTTTATGATAGATTGCGGCGAACGCCCAGAGGCGTCCGAGCAACTCGGGCATATAGGGCTCAGACCTCAAACCAATAAGGAGTATGAATAAAAATTAACAGTGAATATCCATAAGCTTTTTTTCAAGGTATTCCAGCTAGAATAGCTACTCTATTCTAGAGAATGAAATGTTTACAAAAGGTAATAAAAAATAAAATGATATATTATATATCTTTTTATTTTTTCAATAGGACAAAAAAACGGAAACGAAGCTGAAATAGATTAAATCACTTATTCTCATACATTGTCATTTTGCAGCCGGAGGTGCTGAATTATATTTCGTTTCGTTAGCGCTTCGAAATCCGGGTGACGTCATTTAGTACAAATCACATCCTCTTACTTTCAGCTGACCCACGAAATAACACTTTTACTTACTTACTTTACTGACAAATGAGGGAACTAAACACTCAACAACAGATAAAAAACAATAGAATGTACATACCATATTTTAATAAGTAAAAAACCAGTCAACGTAGTTTATGTTTTTTTTGTTTTGTTTATTTTAGTTGGTCAATCGAGTTCAAGCTGGAATTATTTTTGTACTATTTTTTATCTACGCTGCTATTTTTTCTCGAAGTTGTTTATCAATGTTTGTCCAAATAAATTAAGAAAAAAATTAATAAGTTGATCTTTAAACCCAATTTACCTAGTTCAGATAAATAAAATTACTATTCGAATTTTTCGTATTCGTTTCTGTATTTGGAAAATGTAATTAAACTAATATTAGTGTATAAGGGATAAAGGATTGTCAATAACAGAAACTAGCGGATCCATTGTTAATAATAGATCTTGCCAGATCAACCTCCACGTGGTTCCCCTTGAAATCATTGTGGCTAATTCTTGATGAATTCGTTACATGCTAAGTGTATTATATATATATATATATATATATATATATATATATATATATATATATATATATATATATATATATATATATATATATATATATATATATATATATATATATATATATATCATCTGTAAATGACATTCATAAAAACGGAGCAGCACATGAAAATATTATACACATGATATATGAAGTATATTATTTTTGTGATATATAAAGAAGACCAACTTTCAGCCTTAGACGGTGGTTGATTATATAATAAATGATTTTAACAGACAATTAATCCTACAATGAACTCCATAACAATGCCGGAGTAGATAACGCAGTGATGCCATCGCTAAGCAATTGTGTAATTACACAAGTAAATAGCTGGTATTTCGCATCGTTCATTATCATACGTTGATCATCAGCCAGCTTTCGACTTCCCGTTCCAGGCCGCACAAACAGCTGGCCACGTAACACGCATGCGTCACGACCACGGCTCAGTTTGTGTTTACTGGCGGTGTTAACGCGGGGGACGGTGAAAGTTGTTGCGTAATGCTGCCTGCACTTGCGGGCTTGCAGCTGCAACCGGCAAAAACTAGAGTTCGCACTATTCTTTTTATAAACGAAAAACAACAATGCGTTTTTTCTTATTAGGATACTTTATAAAATATGCTTTGCTCTTGCATATAACATATACGCCAACCAGGATCCCACACTTTTTATTATAGAACTTAACCATAAATATAACAAAATGCAATACACACTACTACAGTGGTAACCACAGGCATTACAATACCCCCAATATGCGTTGCAATTCCTTAAGAAACATTGTCACATTATGGTGTGTGGACTACATTTCTTCACATAAAATAATTGTGGGTAATAGTTTTTTTTTTTTTTTAATGTAAATGGAGGAGCACCAGTGAGGGATGATAGGTGAGGATGAAAGCAGGTCAATTGGCCAATCATCAGTGAATTCACTAGGAATCAATAATAACAGGGTATCTTTTATTATCAATTTAAAGAATTAACAATATAGGGTTTATTATCAGCAATGATGCCGTTGGGTTCCGGCAAATTTATCTCCACATGGTCCATCGTGCAAACCATTATGGTTAATTTCTAATAAATTCGTCACAATGGACCGACTAACCCGGTTTTTATCAAATAAGGCTATCGTTTCAAAACATAATTGCTTATCACACGATTGATCGTAATATCAATAGTTAAATAACACGTGATTTGTATGCCTATATAATATATCTTCCTCTTCATTTAATAAATAAAACAAGTTTTACGGTAATTGGAGTTATTCAATAACGTGCATTTATTATGTATGCAGTAGATAGGCATTTACTGTGATGTTCCGGTTCTTTTGAACGTATTAACACTTCAGTCGCTACCGGGTCCCACAGATCCATTATTTTTTAATATTTTTAAAATTGATAGACTTTACTCCCCTCTTAGGAGGAGAGTAAAGTCTTTCAATTTAAAAAAAAAGTTATCAAACTCAGTTCAGAATTGGCGAAGATATTGCGTAGCGTACACATAAAAAAACGAATGCTGAAACTCCTTCTATTAAATTAACTTACCTTTTTATAATTATGATGACATTATCTCTATGTATGCTGTTCTAATCGTATGAGCCCATATATCTATAGCACTTCATTTGCTTACTAATTGACTCTATCATTATATTATCAGTGTGATAGAATCCGAAACGAAGATATCCGGTAAAGAATGTTCTTTATATATATATGTATATAACCGACATAGCCCGAAGGATAAGCAAGCTGAAGTGGCAATGGCCTGGTTACATAGCCCGAATAACCGATAACCATTACCAAAGGGAGACTTTGTACAAAAGTCGTTTCCTTGTGTACCTCTGTTCCATTCGTATTTCAACCGTAAAGCAGTTGTGTTTGCATGGCTATGTTTTGGTTTGAAGGGTGGGATACGGCGTGAATTTACAAAGTACAGATCAATAACACCTAAGTCCTCAGGAATGGGAACGCATAGGTGGTATCATGGACGAAATAGTATACTGTGTTATGTCCATGGTACTGCTCATGTCTATAGCCGACAGTTACCACTTTCCATCAGGTGGGCCGTCAGCTGGTTTGCCATTCTAAGTTGTATAAAAAAAACAGTGGGGAAGAAAGGTTCTTGAGTGGCAACCGCGTACGGGCAAACGCAATGTAGAACGACCACCAACTAGATGGAGTGACGACCTGAAATGTATTGCAGGGAGTCAGTGGAAGCAGATGGCTCAGAACCGTTCTTTATGGCAGTCTATGGGGGAGGCTTGTGTCTAGCTGTAGACGAATAATGGCTGAAATGATAATGATGATTATATTATCAGTAGCGGAAATGAGGAAAATCTTTTTTTATTATAACAAAAGCAATATCATACATTTATATCTAAAAAATTTATTAGCATAATATTTTGTGTATGTAAAAGACCCAGTAGTGACTCCTGTAGTGTTAATTAGTTAATCATACCTAAGTACTTAAAAAACAGGTTGCGTACTAAATACGTCTATATTAATATAGCACTCTATTACACCTGAAACAGTTTATGCAATATAAAATGACTAGGTATAATATAATATACTAGGTTTAGCACAACACTATGGCCAGGTTTAATGTATCTGGCACCCTTGGGTAAGGTCTTGACGAAGCCTTCCTGATTATGAAAACAATATCGATTAAAGAACACTTTTTTTAATGTCTTTGGTGAAATTTTTAACAATGTAACGAAAAGGTCATTAAAGATCCCCGCTGTTCACCCCTGTAATCATTGATACTATTATCTTTCAATAACGACTGACTTGTAGTCTTACCACAGCTTTGGCGTCCTTTTGAACCTCGTCATGCTCGTTGCATCTCGGTGCCCTCGGACGCTTCCTCACGGAGCTCCTTCTTAAAGCTCTTATTTTACAAAACAAGTAAATCATTTGCATTATATAAAATTTAAATCGTGTATCCTTGCATGATTACATCTATTTGATTCGAGAAAGTATAACATACAAACTTACTTTCACATTTATAATTATAACTGAGTATAAATATAGAATGACTTGCTACATGAAAACATCTTTTTCTCGTATTTTATATGTTCCGTATATTTGGAAATAAGCAATTTGGAATTATAAGATAAGTGCGGTGGCATGACATCTTAGACTTCAGAATTGGCAACGTATAAGAGGTGCTAGGATGTCACATTATGATTATGATAATATGCTGTGATGTTGATGATGCTATTTATAGCTATAGGGGCATGTAATTATAACGCTATAGGCGATGGTTATAATTTTCTATTAAATGGGCCATCTTAAAAATAAAATAGATATCTGATAGACACTTTTTTAAAGATGTATCAAAATATCAAAAAATCACATAAGTATACATACTCATAACGAAAATGTTTAAAATATACGAGATACTTGAACATTTTGTTAAGATGCATAAAAAAGCAATATTTTACATGAAAGTTCAAATATTACAAATTCATATGCCACCAATGCGGGAGTAAAACTTAGCGATTGTGAAAATTACTGTGAAATACGATTTAAAATTAAGGCGTAGTTACTTAACGTAGTAACAAAAAAATTAGAAGAAATTAGAACCTCCTTCTGGAATAGGATACAATTAATACATTCTTTGCAACATTGACAACCGCTTATAGATCATTGAGGGTCATATAACCAGGAAACTTATTGAAAAATGTATTGCTATGTCTAGGCCAATGTAATGTTAAATGCAATTCGTTAGCAATAGTTTATGAATGGGTGGACCGCAATATAACCAATATTTTCTCATGTTCTTTGTGATCTGATATTTTCTTCTATTTAGTTTTTGATGTAATAATGACATAACAAAATATATAATATAGCAAAGGCAAGCAAAGGTAAGAATAAAAATTGTCTATCGATATTTAATTTCCGTTCTTAAAGATCGTAACCCCTATGCAATCTTGCAAAAGTTTCCATTGTCTGCCACTGCTGTGATCTTGGATTGTAACTGATAGATGGATATACCTATTTATCGACGTCACTGCCTATTTATATATCACCCGATGCCTGAATCATCCAGCGGTATAAATTGCTATTGTTCTTTTCCCCTTCACCTGGCCTGTTATCTATAATAATTATTTTTTTCTTTTTTTAGTGAGAACACTTGTAGTACTTCCACAGGTAAAGTAAAATCTTATAGATTAATATCGTTAGAAATATCATAAGAAATAATAACTACTACCTTCTAAAGGCAGTTATGATTTCTTTGTGTTCTAAATCCGAAATACGCATACAGGATACTCAATTTTTTCTAAAGACACGATATTAATCTTGATAGATAATAAGTTGGGAACACTTTTATTGCTTCCACAGATTTTACTTTACCTGTGGAAGTACTACAAGTGTTCTCATTAAAAAAAAGGAATTACACACTCCACTAAATGTTAATAATAACTTAGCATTTTCACTTTAAATTCCAAATGTAGATACAGCTGACTGAAAAGCATTAGGTACATTTTTGTACACAAATCTGTTGTTTGTTTGGAGACGTAATCAAATACGTCTATCAGTTATTTTATAACAAGTAGTTACAAAAACTGCTATTATTTTTATTATTCCATGGAGGTAGTTTAAAGTACATTATTTTTATAATTAAAATAATTAAAAAATAGATCCTACCGCGAAGGGCACGAAGACGCAACAAAAACAGTAACAAGCATATTTGCAATGCAAACAAAAATTGCATGTCCACTAGCATAGCTATTTACACATCTTGACCACAGTCTTGTCTCAGCAGTTACGTTAGCAACAAGCAACAAGCGGAAAGCGGAAATAGCGTCTTTAATGCAGTTAATATTTCTCGTTTATTAACAAAAACAGTGGCTACGAACAATATTAGCAACAAGATCATTGATGTAATCGTCTGAACTGAACGGTCTGATGCGGGGGACGGCACTTTTCTCTCAAGTTTCTCCATGCGCGCGCGCACACGCGCACTGTGCAACTTGCCGTTCGGTAAAACGAGCGTCTCTACGATTCGTTTCACATCGTTATCGATTCTAACAGGACTCTTTACTGTGTACACACAATCTACATTTTGTAATTAACAGTGAACTATTTTTTTTATTAAATTAAACTTTGTGCCTGTGGCCTGGAGTTAATAGAAAGTTATTTATAATCAAAGTGAATAAACGAATAAACCGTATATTTACAAGTTGTGCGCCGGTGACGACGGAATAGCTGTAAGGTTTGTTTTTTTTTTTTTATTCCTAACGCGAATTTGTATTGTATTCAAATTACTTTTAAAATCTGCTTGTAGTTGCACAAAATGCACAGCATATTATATAATTAGTAAGATCGTGAGTATGCCAGATATAGATCTGGCATACTCACGAGTTTCCTCGCGTGGGTTGGGAATTTAAAATACTCAGGATTAAACAATCTATAATACCTACAACCGTATTAACATTAGTCTAATCTATCTAATAATTTTCGTATGAATATTAATAGACAAACAAAAAGATATTCTCGTTTCATGACATTTTCTACCTAAACAGTGACGTATGTCCCACCAGATGCATTAACCTGCCTGCAACTGTAGAAGTATCACGTTACGTGACACCTAAGCGAAATCTGAATCAGATTATGTAAAGTAGAACAGATTTAAATGTAATTTGGTACACAGAGACATCATGTTTAACATTAACTTATAGAGTTTCCAAATTAGGTTAGATGGGTAAAATCGAGATTTATAACAAGTAATATTATTTTAAAGAGAACTGTTTGTTTGTTATTTCTTGATTTATTAACGGTTAAACCAATCATCATTTAAATTTGACATACACGTAGTAGGTACTAACTGGATAGGCTGCTTTTGTCCCCGGCTATTCAGTAGGTATGTTCGGTTACATGGTCGAAGTTGCAGGCACACCTCCTAACAATAAACTTTATAACGCTATACTTAATAATATAAATATGGAATTACTTTGTTGCTTTAACGGCTCAGCCAATCTTCAAAAGATTTGGGGTGCACATATTACTTGGGATAAAGAATAATAGACTCGTAGAATACTTTTTATCCGAATCAATTAATTAATATAGTCCAATTATGTAGACGAAGTCGCAGGTAAAAACTAGTAGGCTATAAATATACTCAATTCTAATGCTAGAATTTTAAAATGGTCATAATAATTATGACGCAAATTTTAATTCAATGATTTGTTTTTACGAGTAAATAATCACTGTAATGAGCACTGTAAATACATGGAATTTTTATTTATATTTTGTACACAATTTTAACTTATTTCCAAAACAGATTTTGAAACTCTATCTTATATACTTATTCTTACTAGCTCTAGAATCTATTATCTTCCAATCCTGTGGGAATTTCGGGTAAAACTATTTTAGAAGACACCACTAACTTCAACATTTCAAGATTCTAAACTTAACTCATATATATATATATATATATATATATATATATATATATATATATATATATATATATATATATATATATATATATATATAATATAAAGACAACCTGTCAAATTGTTATAAGATTGCAACGATTAAGTTTGTTCATAACAAAAACCCACTTCAACTATAACCTACGTATAATTTTGGATAAAAAAATAATTTTTCAAATGGGTTTATAATGAGAATCTTCTTCGGTTCAAAAGAATTAAGAAAATCGCTCCAGAATTGTCGTTACATTGTCATAAAAGAATTCAGACAAAATCTCTTTCATTTGGAAATCACTTAAAAAGAAAAAAAAGAATATTGTTTGAGTAAAAGGTTGCTTTATTCAATATTTAAAGTATACTTGTATATTTTCCCTTCAGTTATACTTTTCTTTTTATTCTTTAGAGAACTCTCTCTATACAAATCAAAAAAGTCTACTTTGTGATAAAAAGTTGTATAGGTTTAGTTCAGTGGGCCAAAGTTTTTTTATTCTATTTTATCACCTTTATTTACATATTACCATAGAAAAAGTTTGATACTCTTTTAACTATGCCACGAAATACCTCTTTCCCACGTCTTCGGCTGATGTGAACTACTTATCTTTCGTATCTGTGGATTCAAAACAATTTTCTGTTAAATCCTATAAATTTAATGAAAAGTGAAAGTTTCTAAAAATATTAATGCGTGTTACTCAGTCACGTTTAAATTAAACGAATAAATGGAATGAATGAAATTAGGCATTCACACAGACTGATTGATTAAATATTTACAACTTAATAGGTACAAATATACGAGATTACAAATTACAGTTAGTTTTACTTAAAGAATCTCCATTTCAATCTTATTAAAGTAGATTTAGTAAATTTTTTTCTATTCGTTTTTTATAAGAAGTCTTTGAAGAAGAAGAATTTGCGGATAGGTACTCTACCATTGGGCAAATTAGTTGATAGTAAATGTAGATCACAAAGCTCAAGGATAAAAAGTAGTATCCAGTAAGTACCAAGTATTATGTACCGAATGAAACCGGAATGGCCGGAGACAAACGTGAGATTCGAAAGACATAATGTGCTGGCCCCAATGCTGTTCATTGTAAACGTACAATTGACAAAGTATTCTCACGGCACTATATTATACGATTTAGTAACTTATTAGAATTTTTGCTAAGATAAATACGAAACGCTCAAATCAAGACTTTTGATTTATTAATCATCTCTACTTAAGTTCAATGAAATGAGATATAAACACTAGAGAACAACCGTGATATCTTCCAGTCTACCTCATCAAGATTCGCAGTTGTAACTATATTTATTTATAAATTGTATTACAAATGGATTCTATAATTCCTTTTACTTTTGAATACAGAGTTTCAATACGAATAACTATAATTGTATATAACATGTTTAAATTTATTAAATTTATACAATAGAAATAAAATTATTTTTAGCTTAAAAATGATAAACAAGTAACGCCGTATTTAAATTAAATAATATTATATTTATTATACAATTTCGAAAAAGTACCTAGTCTATAGCAAGAAGTTTCCAAAAATACTAATTTCTATCAACAATAGAATAAAATTAATTACCTTGCTAAATATAATGTAGAAATCGATTAATTTGTAATTAGATATAATTATAATATTTCAAATATAATATACAAAATTTATTTTAATTTATTTATTTAATTTATATATATATATATATATATATATATAATATACAAAATATATTTTTATTGAACTTCTATATTACATTTAAATCTCTACCACTTTTGCTACTAACGCTTACACAAATCAATTCAGTACTATGTATTGAATTTTTTGCTACCTAGTTGAAAATAGTGGGAATTTAAACGTAGTGTTTGTAAGTTCCAGAAAAAGCTATTGTAATGCGCAACGTAAAACAATTGCTGGTGCCGTTCGCTGACTGTTGAAATCCATACGTGATATATTTATTAATCAGGCCAAAGATTTACGAAAGTCTACACGAACTGGTCGGGTAACGGTTGCCATATTTGGTTGTCTTTTATTGGTATGTATTAAATAATGTTAAGCATTAAAACCAGTGCTACTTTATCGTTAAATTGATATTTAAAATAGATGACCCTATTATATATTATAGTATATCTTATATTCATTAAATGTGATTCAACTTATACTCCACTCAGCGGTCACTCCCACTGAATACATTGTAGTACATTTATATATTTTTCGGCTTTTATCTCAGAAGGTGTGCAAAGTAATTTCAATTTGGTACAATCTTACTCTGACTATAGATAATAATGTAATAAATATTATAGTAGTATAAGGAGTCAAATCAAAAACATATACCTATCTGGGCACTGTAAATATAGTTAAATGTAAACTATTTTATAATGAATGGTCGAAACATTCCCTGATAGATATGAGTAGTTCGAACAGCTTAACAAGGCTGGCTTAATGAAGCAGACTGTGCAAAAATTTACTGTATTACCGTAATATAAATCTGTGCAGTGCTCGTATCTGCTAATTATGAAATTGTTTAAATTATATATATATATATATATATATATATATATATATATATATATATATATATATATATATATATATATATATATATATATATATATACTAGCTGACTCGGCAAATGTTGTTTTACCATATACATTATTTCTAGAACTGTATATGAAAATTCATGGTACTACATTTATTATATTCGTTTGCTTCTTACAAGTACAGCCCTATTGCGGAATATAAAAATCACCATTAAAAAACATAGATTGATCGTAAAAGGGTAAAAATTTGTGGTTGTATGTATTTTTCAATGCTAAATCATAATACAATAAAAATAAAAAAAATGTCAACAAAATAAAAAAAAAATTTAGAGGTGGGTCACCCTTATCATTGAGGGGTATGAAAAATAGATGTTGGCCGATTCTCAGACCTACCCGATATGCACACAAAATGACATAAAAATCGGTAAAGCCGTTTCAGAGGAGTTTAGTAACAAACACCGCGACACGAGAATTTTATATATTAGATATATATGCAAAACAAAACCTAATATTAATTTAGCGGCCAAGAAGAAGAACACAGCCATTGTAATAATAAGCGTACGTATCATAATTTGAAACGAAAGTAAAATTCGTGTATTCACAATAATGAATGTAGTCATTCATGCTTTTTAATAATAAAAACAAAATGAGGGTCAGGAGGTCAAGATTCACACACAGTATCGGCGCATAAAGTAAGCCAACAAGTCGACATGGGTACGTCAGTGTGGACAGTGAATATTCCTCTAACGGCTCTTTAATTGTCTAGCATCTTTAATTATTAAAAATACTGTCATTAACATTCCTTTATATATCATAAACTTGTTGTATTTCGCGGATTTATCTGCGTAAATGAGGTAAAAATTACCCTATGATTAAAAATAGGTTTATCGAACATTATACTAAATATTATTCAAGTCTGTTCAATATTTTAAGCATGATTGAATAACAAACATCTTGACAAACTTTCACATTTATAACATTAGATTATTCATGTTCTTGACTACGTAATGATTATTTTAAAAACGTGACATTTTTGATTTCCTACATTTTGTTATGCAAACAATGGTTGTAATCAACCAAATAATCAGGTCCATTGTTTGCACCATTAGGCCTAAGATTGATGATTGTATATTGATATCTGCAATAAAATATTATCTTCAAATCTAAAAAAATGTTTCTGTAGCTATCTTCAATTTAATTCATATTACTGCTTCGTCCAACTGAATATAAATAAAGCTTTCAGACATA